CAATTTTTTGGTGCTTAATTGGCAATTAAGATTCTCACTGACTTTTCTGTCTAGACTAACTTTGAACCATGATACTCCAATCCCAGCTTCATGAGGAGACAGAATTATAGGAATGAACCACAGGTATGCAGCTGGGGACAGATTTAATAACTGAAAGTTACCTGTCAAAACCAGTTCTCCTGAATCTGACTAGATCAAGATTATGAATTAGAGAATCTAATTTTTTAATCTACTTTTAGGTAATTTTGTTGTATATCAAATACTGGAACTATTATACTGGTTCATCAAAGTGGAACACTGGAAACCTCCAAGAAGTTACTCAAGGTATGGAAATAAAAATCTTAAATTCCAGTTCATTGATTAAAGTTTACTATTACCATATTCTCTCTCATGCAGTGCTATCTTCCCCACCCTTTTACACATAACCCCCCCCCCCCCAAAATCATAAAGGAAATAAAATATAGACTAAACTGTGTGTGGTGTCTCATTCCTATAACCTCAGAGATAAAAACATTACCAGTTTTGAGGCCAACCTGGGCTGCGTAATGAGACCCTATCTGCCTGGTGAGACCATATCTTAAAAAACAAAAGGAAAAAAAAAAACAACAACAACAACAAAAGGGGCTGGGAAGTTGGCTCAATGGTAGAGTGCTTGCCTTGCATGCATGAGGCCCTGAGTTTGATTCCTCAGCACCACATAAGCAGAAAAAGCCAGAAATGGCACTGTGGCTCAAGTGATAGAGTGTTACCCTTGAGCTGAAGAGCTGAGGGACAGTGTCCAGGCCCTACGACAAAAAAAAAAAAAAAAATCAAACTGCATTTAAAGAATCCTCTTTCACTCAGTTCACATTTGAAATATTAGCCAAAAAAAAAGAAATATTAGCCAGTAAATATGTGAGGTTTACTATGTGTGCAAAAATAAGTCATCCTATACTGAAAACAAGGCATGAATTTTCTTGAAGGCCTCACAAAAATAATTTAAAGAAAGAAAAAGGAAGAAAGGGAGGGAGTGGAGGGGAAAGGAGGAGAGAGGTAGGGAGAAAAGGGGTAGGGAGGGGAGGAGCAGAGAGGGTAGAGAAAGCATAGCTGGAAGCCCAAGAGATTCCAAAAAAGGTTTCACTCATAATTGTTGAGTTGTAGGAACATGAAGCTCAAGGCTAACATTTCAAGTTTTTTTGCGTAGCGTTTTTTTTTTTTTTTGTCAGTCATGGGGCTTGAACTCTGGACCTGGGCACTGTCCCTCAGCTCTTCATCTCAACACTAGCGCTCTACCACTTGAGCCACAGCATCATTTCCAGTTTTCTGAGTGGTTTATTGGAGATAAGAGTCTCACAGACTTTTCCTTCCCAGACTGGCTTTGAACCATGATCCTCAGATCTCAGCCTCCTGAGTAGCTAGGATTAGAGGTGTGAGCCACCCTCACCAGCTCACATTTCAAGTTTTTATATGCAGGCTACCCCTTGGGCTCCCAATGCTTAGCTGAAGCAGAAGCAAATTCCCAAGAGAGACTGAAACAGAAATTCCCTCACAGAAGGGAAGGAAAGCATGAAATCACCACTGAAGCCATTCAAAATTAGAGTAGAGTCATTCTAAACAAATCCCCATATCTTCTACATGAATTCTCACCTAGTCAAAGAAGCTTCAGCTACCAATGATATCTTAAAATTTTGTAATAATAAATTGTCATAAAGAATTGTCCAGCCATGTGCCGGTGGCTCACGCCTGTAATCCTAGCTACTCAGGAGGCTGAGATCTGAGGATCGTGGTTCAAAGCCAGCCTGGGCAGGAAAGTCCATGAGACTCTTACCTCCAATAAACCACTAGAAAACCAGAAGTGGCACTGTGGCTCAAGCGGTAGAGTGCTAGCCTTGAGCTGAAGAGCCGAGGGACAGCACCCAAGCCCTGAGTTCAAGTCCCATGACCAACCAAAATAATAAAAAAATAATTATCACTAATTAAAAAACTATTCTTAAATACTTTTTTAAAATAGATTTTTTTACCCTGTTAAGAGAAAAAGAAATGGAAGAAAAGGAGAAGGGAAGGGGAGAGGATAAACAGATGAGAGAAAAGAACCATAAAGTAAATCAGGAATACTAGGAATCGGAAATCCTGGTTTTTGAATGCACTAACTAAAATGAACTGCCTTCTTTCATGAGGTGGGAATAGCTGTACCAAATAGTAAGAGTCTATCTCAGAAAAAGCCAATAGTACCAAAAGGAACTTTGGAGTTAAGAATGGCAACTATATACAAAGCAACAATAAAAGCCTCTTGAGTTACTGGGACAAGGGTACTTTCTGATTATTTTGCCTGAGATGCAAGATTTGTTGAAAATTACAGTCCCTGGGGGACTGTGAAGAAGGGGAGTCCTTGAAAGTTACCAATTCAACCCAACCTGAATGGAGTTCTTGATGCCAGTGCCAGGTATTGCAGATTCAGCAATGAATGCCAGTCCTTCTCTTTAAGAATTCACCGTCAGAAATAAAGTATTAAGAATTAAAGAGTTGAAGGGATGGGAAAGGGAAACAAAGGAGGAGGCAACAATGCTTGATAAGAAATGTACTAATTGGAAGTGGCGCTATAGCTCAAGTGGTAGAGTGCTCGCCTTGAGCTGAAGAGCTGAGGGACAGCGCCCAGGCCCAGAGTTCAAGCCCCACGACCGACAAAAAAAAAAAAAAAAGAAATGTACTAATTATCTTGTCCATGTAATTGTAACCCCTCTGTACAGTATTTTCACAATTAAAAAAAAAAAAAAGAATTAAAGAGTTGGGGCCGGGAGTTGGTTCAGTGGTAGACTGCTTGCCTTACATGCATGAGGCCCTGGGTTCGATTCCTCAGCACCACATAAGCAGAAAAAGCTGGAAGTGGTGCTCTGTGGCTCAAGTGGTAGAGTGCTAGCCTTGAGCTGAAGAGCTGAGGTACAGTGCCCAGGCCCAGAGTTCAGGCCCACAACTGACCAAAAAAAAAAAAAAGAATTAAAGAGTTAAGAATCCAGTTAAGGTTTTTGCTAAATATTAAAGGAAAATTTGTATCCCACTCTGTCCTTTCCCAAGAATAACATATAAAGGAAGCAATGATTTGTAGAGTCTTGAAATTTGTATCTCAAGAAAAATATGGGCTGAAGAAATAAACTTAAGGGTAGCTAAATTTTCTGATTTTAAATCCAGTGCTCTGATACATCTGATTAATGTGGTCATCTGAATAAAATCTAGCTATATTAAAAGTCTAATTATGCTACAAGTCAAAGGTTTTTAATTTGATGAAAATTTCTGTACACTGCTAATAATGTGAAAGCCTCTAATAAATAGATTTCCTTTGCTACTGTTTATAAATTGCAACCAGATGTATGTGTCTTTTCCAACTTATTCCCCATTAGGCTGCATTTCACCTCTAAGTCATTGACCATTGTCTAAATCATGTCTATTCCCAATACTTGGCACAAAGTAAGCTAATTTATTAATTGAATTGGCCCTATCCAGGTCTAAAATTGCACGATATCTGATCTCAAAACAAAATCAAGATATGAGGACCAATAAGCACCTAAAGGTCACGTCATAAACTTATGTCACAAATAAATTTAACTCATTTTGAGACCTTTTGTGAATATAGTACTGATGCTGCAAGTTTTAAATATATTTTTACAATTACAAGTACAAATACAGATCTACTATATATTTTGTCCTTAAGTAGCACAAAATCAAGATTTCCTACTGATTTAAGAAACTATGTAATTTATTTGTAAAACTCCTTAAGTAAGGAAAATAGGGATAAGAAATAGTAGAGAGGGGGGAGGCTGGGAAGGGATGTGAAGGGTAAACAAAGGAGGAGGCTGCAATGCTTGATAAGAAATGTACTCATTATCTTGCCCATGTAATTGTAACCCCTCTGTACAGTATGTTCACAATAAAAAATTAAAATTAAAAAAAGAAATAGTAGAGAGTAAGAAATAAAAATCAGGAAACTGTGTCTCTGTCGACACACTAATTGTATAACTTTCTAAGACCTAAACTGCATAATGTTTCAATTCTGGTTACAGTCAAGACCCCTAAAAAGAAGGTGTTACATGTTAGAAATACTTTTTGCCTAGAGATTGAAGTGGGAGGGAGGGCAGTAGGATGGTATCAAAATGCAATTCAAGTGAAATTGCTTTTTCAGTAATGCCCATTGAGATATATATTTTCCCATTGCATCTGTTTACTCCTATTAAACCATCAAAGCCTCATTCTGAATCGTATTTTCTTAGCACTATAATTCAATTTCAGAATATCCTGTCAAATTAAAAATAAAAGACCTTTAAACTGATGTTGTTTGGGGCTGAGGATATACGTTGTAGTCCAGAGCTTGCCTAGCATGCCCTAGATTCGATCCCTAGGACCTCAAGAAAAAAAAAAAATTAATTAAAAGTTTTGAATTAACTGAGAGTTCTCTGGGAGAAGTAAAGAGATTTCCTACATAACTACAGTAATTTGGCTTATATGTCTAGCATCTAATTCTAAGCACCAAACCGACTGCATTTTAGTAAAGACCACTGAAGCAAACCCAATGAAAAACCACGGCTTCTAATTTCAAGAATCCTCACACCACTGGAATGGGTTTAGACTCCAAGCAAATTAACAGCTCTACAAAATGACTTCCCTTTCTTCCCCAGCCACACCCTCAGGCATAGCCCTTCCCCATCCAAGCCCTTCAAGTATAATTATTTTTAAAAGGGGGGGGGGGTGTCTGCTGGTCCGGGACAGGCAACTGCACATTTGTCCAGCAGGCAGGCTAGCCTGATTGCACAGGCACTCGGGGAGCGTGGTGTGGACACCTCCAGCCCCACGGGACAACAGGAAGATTGCTTCCCACAGAGTTCACAACCACAGAAACACAAAGCCAGCCGACCGGGTTCCTCTTCCCCTACCTGCAAATCAAAGCTGTCGGAACCGGCGGCGGGGCCGGGAGGCAGCCGACGCAGCCCTCCCCGCAGGTCCCCGGCCCCGCCCCAACCCCGGTGCGGTACCTGGCGAAGAAGTCCGCAAAGCCTCCACCCCGCCGAGCCCGGGCCGAGGTGCCCGCGGGGCCCGGCTCCATGCCGGGCGATGGCACTGGCCGCTCCGCCGGGGGCAGGTGGTCGCCGGTGCTCGGCCGGCGGCTCACCTCGAACGTATTCCGGGAGTTCAAGTGACCGTCCGGGAAGCCGAGGCTCGGCTCGGCACCCCCACTAGTCCTCCCGGCTGGAGTGACGGCGAGCTCGCGCTCCACGGACCCCGCGGGGCTGGCTGTGGGCCGCTCCGAGTCCTCGCTGCCCCCCGAGTCGTCGTCGGCGTCGGCGTCTGCGGCCGCCAGGCAGCAGCTCCGCAGCGGGTCCTCGAGCGGCGCGGCCCAGTCTGACGAGCTGTCGGCGCCGCCCGCACCCTGGTCCCCGGGCCCTTCCAAGCGGAGGCGACCGCACGGGCGCTGGTAGCGAGGCTCTGAGCCGCCAGCACGAGCTTCGGCCGGGCAGCCACGGTCCTGGCCCAGCAGGAAGCCCGAGTCCCCGTTGGTCATGCCGCCCAATCGCGACGCGCGGGCGTCCGCCGCCTCCGCGACGCGGGGCTTGGAGCCGTGCGGGCGGGCGGCCGGGCGCGAGGCGGCCGCAGGAGGGGCGCCGGCCGGGCCAGCGGGGAGCGGACAGTCACACAGCCCCGGCTCGCGCGGCCCCCCGGCCGCCACCAGGTGAGACTGGAGGCGCTGCCGGGGCGGCGTCTCCTCCTCCTCCTCCTCCGGGGGCTCCGCCGCGCCGACACTGCCACCAAACCCGCCGGTGGCCGGGATCATCTTCCTGTCCGGGTCCGCGGGCTCCTGCGCGGGCGCCGGGAGCAACTTGGCGTTTCTTCTCGAGCAGGCGGCAGCATCCTCCGGCCCCACCATCTGAGGGCCGGGTGGCCGCCGCCCGAGGAGACCGAGGGCTCGGCCGCGCAGCCTCTGCCAGGGAGCAGCCGGGGTACGGGGACCGCGGCCGCCACCGCAGCCGCAACGCTCCAGACCCGCCCCTCCCGCCCGGCCCGCCGGCCTGCCAGCCCGACCGCCCGACAGTTGCGATAGGGCGGGCACGCGCCTGGGCTCGCGCACGCGCAAAAGACGGACCGGTCAAGCCAGGACCTGGAGATTCCCTGAACCATAGAGATGGCAGCTAGAGAGGCCTGGGCCGCCAATCTGGAATCCGCCGTCTGCGTGGCGGAGGCTGCTTTGCACACTGCGTCTGGCAGATAGTAGAGGGAGGTATTACTCACTTAGCAAAAATTAACTTGGCCTAATCATTGGTGAGAGCAAAATACAGGATCTTAGAGTAGGTAAGTCATTCCAGTGCACGAAGTCCATCAGCAATGGACTAAGCCTATAGCCTTAGTTCAGGATTTCATCGCCGCATGGCCAACACCTCAACACTTCATCTTCCACAAGCTATCTAGCACAGTGTTTCCATTATTTTCTTAGAAGGGAGATGAAGCAGGGATCAGGAAGGGAAGGATTTATACCAGCCCCTTGTTATGATGTAGTAAAAATTGAGTGGCGACAGTTGGCTGGAAATGAAGGACATTTCAAGTAGAACAAGAAGTGCTAACTACTAGGAGGAGACACAGGATGGAAGCTAATGGTAACTACAAAGCTAAGGAGACGGAACCTGATATGGTTTGAAAAAAATTGGATTAAAAAAAATCTCGATTCATACTTAGAAAATATCCAGTAAAGTTAAATACTGGAATCCCAGCATATAGTGAAAACTCAAATACTTGGGTTAGAATTTAGGCTAGGTGGAGGAGTCACCCGAATAATACACCTAGATGAGTCATGAGTGGCATTCCTGGGAAGTAAAAAGGTTAGGGGTGGGGCAGAGAACCAAGAGGTTATTTCAGAAGAGTCAAAGATGTGTTGCAAGAGATTAAAGAGACATCAGAATTGGATAGGATGAAACAGCAAATGTAGAAAACTCATTCTAGAATAAATTATCAGTGAAATGGACAGAAATAGAAGAATAATAAGAGCCAGGCTGGTGGCTCATGAATGTAATCCTAGTTCCTGAGGAAGCTAAGACCTGAGGATTGAAGTTTGAAGCCATCCCAGGCAAGAAAGTATTGACCACCAAAAGAGCTGGAGGTAAAGATGTGGCTCAAGTGTTAGAGTACTAGTCTTGAGCACAAAAACTGAAGGACAGTACCTAAGCCCGAGTTCAAGCCCCAGGATTGGCACAAATTTTTTTTTTTTAAATGAAGTAGTAACTAGAGAAGGCAGCATTTTTGAGTCTTTAAATTTTTTTATGCAAAAAAGCATACATATACACATGAGTGGCTATAATTACATTTCTGGTAAAGTAAAAATATGTCAAGATAGGAATCGTGTGCCTATCACCCAGATTTAGAAATACCCTGTATCTTTTATAATGAGCTTTTTGTAAGGACTGAAGTGGCAAAGCTATTGTCATTTAGATCTTTCAGAATAAAGAAATAATACCCAGAACATAGGTATAAGAGTTAATATTAAAAGAAAGGCTGAGACTGGAAGATAGAGTTCTAAGCTAGCGTGGGCCACATAGAACCTGTCTCAAAAAGAAAAGGAAAAATATAAAAATAAATCTATGAGAGGATGTGGAAAAAGTAGAACACTAACTCATTGCTGATAAAAATGTAAAACAGTGCAACCTCTATGGAAAAAGTTTGCTTAATTACCCAAAAGTTAGTTAAATAGCATTTCCTAGATACATCTCTAAAAGAATTAAAAACAAGTACACTAACAAAACTGCTAAAGGGATGACATTGGTCAAGACCCACTGTAGTCACAAACTCCTTTGTTGAATGGCAGCTTCTTTGTACAACTACTTAAAGATAATACAAAAAAATATATAAAATTTTTACATAGACATTCACAGTGGTAGTATTCTTAATAGCCAGAAGGTAGAATACCAAAATTTCTACTAACAGATAAAAGTAGTACAGACATATAATGGAATATTACTCAGTCATGAAGAGATGGACCAGCCATGCCTACTGCAGCATTGTGAATGTATTGACTCTGTTTGTACAATGAACATGGTTAATTTTGTTATATATATTTCACCTAAACTTAAAAAAATAACTTAATATAGCAGATGTCTGGGCATAAGGATAGTTACAAATATCAGTAACATACACACACACACACACACACACACACACACACACACACACACACACAATCTAGAAGAGAGTAGCAGGAGTTCAGCCTCATTTGTCTTTCAGTCTTCGTACTCTCAATCTAGAGAATGTCATGTGTTTTCTTCTTGTTAAACTTTTCCCAACAACTTCTTTCTAGCTGCCATTGTAGTTCTTTTTGTATGAAATGATACTATATTTTTTAAACTCAAATTGCTCTAAGTAGTATATTTTGCTCATCTTCCTCTCCTCAAAGTAAAGACCATAGTAGCCCACATAACCCTACTATTTTTTAATGCAGTCTTCAAAAGTGAAATACATTTATATTTTACAACTTTGTCCACAATGAAGATGTAATGTGACATACCTTCTATAGTGTTAAATCATCACTCCAGAACAATGTGGCAATGCTTCTAAAAATTGGCTGCACATTAGGAAGTTTTAAAAAATACTGTTGCCTGGGCCAGATCAATGAAGTCATTATCTCTGGAGAAGATGCCTTGCTTTTTTGCAGTCATAATTAATCTGCCAGATTTTTAAAAGAAAGATTGTTTTTTTTCTTTAGTTGCCATTGTTGTAGTCTCTCTCTTTTTTCTTCCCCAGTTTTAGCTGCTTTTTCTAAGTACTCTTGGAGAGGATTCTTCTTCCTTAATCCAAACTAAGTTTCCTGTTCTCTTAAAGCCAGTGACAAAATCTTTAGACTGCAAGACTTTTCCTAGTCTGTCTAACCAGCCTACTTTCCTACTTCTCTCCCAAACTCTGAACTTAATCATAATAATCTTGTATTGTGTCTACTTCTATTCTCCTTATTTAAGTTTCTTCTATGTGCTCTATGATGAGCTATATCATTGTTATGCTGACTTTGAACTCCCACTCCTGCTTCTTCATCTCATAGTTTCCTTTTCCTCACTCATCATGTTTCAGACGGTCCTTTCCTCGGTTTCTAAAATTTGTGCCATGGTCCTTCTCCCTAAGTAGCTTCATATGTGTGGATCAGCCTGCCTGGAATATTGTCTCACCTTGATAATTTGGCTAATGACTCCTACTCTTTCTATACTCTAATTTAGTCTCAGATATGTTTGAGGTTGCTTAGTCTCGTGCTGTTTCATAGATGTGCCCTCTTCCCTCCTCCCTCTCTTCCTTCTTTCCTTTCCTCCTTCCTTCTTTCTTTCCTTCTTCCTTCCTTCCTTTTTTCTCTCTTTTTTCTTGCTTTCTTTTCTTTTCTTCTCTTCTTTTTCTTTTCAGTGCCAGGCCTGGGACTTGAACATTTTGCTATAAACATATTTGTAAAATTTTCATCTTAATATTTGTTCTATGAATGAACAAATCCTTAACCTAACAATCATTTGTTTTGAATCAGCATGCACTAGTAAAACCTAAAATAATTCCAAGTCAACTGAAGGATATATTGATCTAACACTATGAGTCTTTAATGATGAATAGATTAAACAAAAGGGATGGTATGTTCCTTTGGAAATTGACTAATGAGATACAAAGTAAATTTGATATCAAACTTCAAAAGAAAGGTCTGCAAGCAGGAGGAAATGTAGTCTTTTAAGTCTATGCATTTTGGTTTGCTACTGAAATCTTCAACCTCTGTAAATAGTTTAAATTCCATGCATGCCTGTTAAAGCCCAAGCTGGTTAAAAAAAGTGATTTAGGCCTAGGTTATGGATTATATTGAGATAACAAGATTGAAGGGATGAATATTGCAGATTAACTCAGCAAGATGAGGTATGTGTGGAAAAGGAATGATAGGAAGATAACAAACAGCTGCTGTTTGGTAAGTCACAGCCGCCTGACAAGCCAAAACCAAGAAACAGATGAAATGCTTTAAAAATGCACCATGATCTTTTGCGGACACATATTGATGCTACATATTAATACACACTGTAATCCTACTCCTGGGAATTTTTCATAAGGAAATTATTCAAAAA